GACAAGCCATCCATGCAGGACTCTGCCAACAGGCTTCCCTTCTCCCCAAACTTGCCTGTTGGTACCCTTCTGCACAGGCGCGCCTACTAAACCCCCAAAAAATTGAGTGACTGTGCAGCCTACGCAACCGCAACTACGGGAACTGACAACTAAGGACGGTCGAATTCAATTAGCGAACTTGGTCGCTGCATGAACTTGTACCACGGGGCCAGCACGTCCGCCAAGGTTATACGCACCCGATTTGCTTCAGGGAACTTGGCCCTCATGACCAAGGGCAATGGCTTCGCTTCTGGGTGGTTCAAACGACTTAGCAAGTCAGCCTCTTCATTCCGCTCGCCTGCCACATGGGAAAGCTCCAAGGCCACTTGTAGCTCCAAAGCCGCAAAAGCCAAGGCCATCAGCGCAAAGCACAGCGGCGGCGCAGTGGACATGCCCTTACTGCAAGCCGCGACCACTGGCATGTTGTCGCCATATTGTCGCAAGCGCACACAATGCAACTGAGCGGTCCCATCAACCTTTGCGCGAGCCAGAACCAGAGCCAGCTGCGCTAAAAGCTCCAGAGCACATATAGCTGCTTGCATCTTTTCCGGCCACTGCCAAAGATCGGGTAGTTGGCCCTGCTCAATTTCCAGGTGGAACCAAAACAGTTTGTTTGACTCCAAGGCCCGAAACCAACCTCCTATGCCTGAGAGAGCAGACCCGGCCCAGGCATCCGCCGCAGCGTCCTCAGCCACCCTCTCACCGGCCCAAGAGAAGCTGTTGGTGCAAAACACCCGCTGTAAAGTGTGCAACGAGGACAACGAAACCGGATCCAGATCCACACAGGGAGTCCATGCCGAAAACCGGGCCCAAATCTTGCCCGTGATCGTTCGGGGCTGTTGCAGCAGACGACGCGCATTGATGACACAATCAACTGTCTTGTCACCCACAGCGTGCAAACGCCACCCCTTTTGAATATCGCTTCTTGCAGCAGCAGACTGGACTACCAGCCCGTCCCCCAGGATCATGGCCAGCTCTTCTAATTGCCCCAAACTCAGACACTGCAAGCGTGACCCTGGCTTGTTCAGCTTGATAAAGAGAGGCGCAAGGAAAGCTCGCAATGCGAGTCGCACTTGAGTCGCCCAAAGCAGAAACCCCAAGAGCTGAGAGAGCTTCTTCTGAGGCACCCGTCGCGGATGCAACCTCCACCAAGCCAGCTCCCTAAGCACCTTCGCTTGCTTGCTTTCCGGCAAGGACGCCCAGAAACCAGAATGCAAGGACAACTGCCACCCCAAATAGGTGAACTCGGAACCCAATGCCAGTTTACGCCAGGACAATGGCACAGCCAAGATTTGCAAAATAGCCAGCACCAGCACCACCAGCATCGCGAACGCCCCCCGCGGCAGGAGGAATAGAAAATCATCCACATAAACCGCCCCCAGGTGGCGGTGGCGCACCAGGAAGTGTATGGTTCGTAACAGCAAAGCAGAAAGCCTCGACCACCAATACGCCGACCACGCGGCCCCGAAGTGGTTGACCACGTATGCGTAGAATTCTCCTTCAAGTGAGAATACCGAAAAGCCCACATCTTCAGCAGCCGTACGGATAGATTTGTGAGCCCCCTTGATGTCCACGCTGAACAACACCCACTCTTTGGGGTCCACCGCCACACCTCGCCAAGCGGCGAACCTGTTCAGCGCAGCAGTGAACAAGAAAAGCGAAGGCACCTCCGCCCGCTCAAGGAATCTGGCCGCCGGGCTCGCCCCACTGGCGCGGGAGTCGCCAATGAGCCGGTCTTCTTTTCCAGCGCACGTCACGAGCCCCAGTTTGCCAATTGCCAAGGAACCATCCGGGAATCGCTGTTGTACTGCCGACATCCCCCCTGCAATGTGTACCAAATAACCCAGGTCCACTTCTTTCTGGACTAAAGCGCGAACTTTCGCCGGCTCCTGTTCTGCAGAAATGTGATTGGAGGTGCACCAGAACAAATCGCAAGCCTCAGCCACCTCGTCACCCCATTTGCCAGAACAAGGTGGCCAAACACCAGATGCAGGGATTGGCTCCCGTACTCCCGTAGGCGCCCCGCGCCGAAGCACTTTGCACAGAGCAACATCTGGATCATCCATACGCAGAGCCAAACTTTCCAGCAGATTGAACTTGTACGGAGTGAGTTCAAAGGACTCCAATGCCCAAGCCGAATCGATACCCAAGGCTGAACAAACGGCCACTTGCATCAAATGCACCTCTGAGTCAGTGAAGAACGGATGCTCCAAGGTCTTGCCACACAGCGCGGCCGCCCGGCAGCAAGCATCTTTCGGCATGGAAGACCAAATTGCTTTGCGCACCGCAGACAATGGGTCCCGCAAAGCTACAGGCGGAGGCACTTGCCAATCCAGAGTGCTCGACAGACCACCCCCGTCTTTCAGCAAGATGCGGTGATAATCTGCAGGAGAACCACTCTCAGGCTGCTGAGCCACCCCTGCCACGTCAGCCTGGCCCGCATCTTGACGGAAAGCCGCAGGCTGCCAGGGTGGAGCGCTACCAGCTGGCAGCGAGGGGCAGCCTGCAGGGTCTGCTGCTACCTCGCTCCCGCATTGCTCCATGATGGGAGCGAGGCAACGCCCCTAATCCTCTTTCGCCAATTGCAAAAGCTTCGCGCACGCATGCCGCCCATGTTCAGCAGAGCCGCAATGATCACAGTGATGCTTAAACTTGCATTCGTTGCGCATAGTGCATTTGCCTTCTTGGAAGCTCCAACACAGACCCTTGGCACGCTTCACCCCTTTGTCTTTGCCCTTGCCCTTGCCTTGGCCACGACCCTTGCCAGCACTTGTAGTTTCAGCACCATACGGGGAAGGACGCCTTCCCTTCTCTGCTGGAGCTTTGAGGCGCGGCTGCAGCCACAATCGCAAACGGTCTCGCACCACAACTGCCTCATAAATAGCCCTGTCCAAATCATTGCCCTTGCTCATCAAGTCCTGCAGTTGACGGCAGAGTTCCGCATCCGCAAACTCGGCCTCTGCAAGGTTTGGGGGGCGCATCCCCACATCAGCCAACCCAACGCGATGATACAGCAGCATGAACTTGTTGACAAGCATTTTGCCCGACGACAAATGGCACCAATCCAGCAACGCCCACGCCACACTGCGCAGCGACAAAACCTTCTGCACAGCGAAGGGGGAGGAAGACACGTCAGCTTCCAAAGCGTCAACATGTCCTGTCACATCCGCCAAAAGGCCCAGGAGAGACTTCTCCTTAGAGTGGGAGCAGGACTGGCGGGAACGATCGTATTGCACAACGCTCAAGATTTGCTTCCAAGGGATAAACTTCAACTCCCCATTCCGCTTTTGGAGCGCGATCTGCTGCAGCAATTGCTTGCAGGGCTGCCCATCCGCTTCCAAGCACTCTGATGGGTAGTCCACCGCAAACTTCTTCCACAACTCTGCCAACTGGGCCGCATCCAGCTGCGGGCCCACTGAGAGACCCAACAAGCTCGTCCCTGCTGCATCGGAAACCACTGGCGCCTGATCACCAGCGTCATTGCATACTTTTGTGCACATAGCCAAGAGACGCCGCAAGCGGCCCGCTTCCAAGCACTGAAGCAAAGAAGGCGCACAGCCCTTATCTACCCCAGCCGCCTGCAGCACAGCATCAATCGTCTCCTCAGCCCCGCTCTGCAGAGTCCAGTGCAACTCCGCGGCAGTCGCGAAGCCCCGCGCAGCCAACTCCTCCTGAACTTTGCTACACAGCCCCACCTTTTGCAACAAGTCCTGAAATTTCTTCTTGCAGTCCATCGCGGACATCGCGCCAGCAAAGACAAAAGAAGGCAAGACAACCAAACAACGAAGGCCAACGCCCAAACAAACACTCCCAGCGCACTTGCTGAAAGGAATTTAGGGAGACACCTCCCACACCGAAACGACGGACGAGCGTCCGCCAGGTGACCCACGTCACCGGATCTCCCCGAGATCCAGATCTCCCACGAGATCACAGCAGACCCACGTCTGCAAGATGACCCACGTCATCACAGCAAACCCACGTTTGCAAGAGGACACTTCCTCGAAGGTGACCCACGTCACCGGATCTCCCCAGAGATCCAGATCTCCCACGAGATCGCAGCAGACCCACGTCTGCAAGATGACCCGCGTCATCACCGCAAACCCACGTTTGCAAGGGGGCCCCCGACCTGGAAGGTGACCCACTCCACCGATCTCCCTCGAGATCCCGATCTCCCACGCCCCCACGGCCGCGCAAAAACGCGCACACAGCGCCCCACTTTTTGTCACTCCGCACCCAAGAGCAAACCACATGCAGCATGGCTACAAGGTATGAATGCTCCAATGCTAGTTGACGGGTCTTCCGATCGCACCTCCCAATGTGGCTCATCTACCGACTGAGATGGGGCACACGCCCGCCGTAGCGAACCACCGGCTAGAATCACAGCGTGAAACTTGTGAGAGCGGCAATTCACCAGAAACTTTCCGCCAACAAGCTGCGCTGGGCCAGGCACCGCGTCCTCTTCGTCGTCCGCCTCCAACAGCTCGCCGCACACGCTGCTCACCGAGGACTCCGCCTCCGCCTCATTCTCATCCGACTCAGACTCTGTGTCCGAAGTGCCCGAGGCACAGATGTCCAGACCCAAGGGAGCCCCCCGCAGCGCCGACGGCGCCGGCGCCAGAGGTTCCTCAGGGCAAGGCTGGCGTGCACCTCTTGCTTGAGGGGTCAAGGGGCACCAACCGCCACGTATTGCCCGAGCCACCACCAGCTGCGCCCTCAGCGCAGGCAGCACGTCGTCACGCCCATACTTTTGAACCATAGCCTCACCGGCTTCGCGCGCCCGATGATGCCCCCCACAAGCGGCGGCAGCGCCCATCGATGTCTAACTGCAAGCCCCAACAAAGCCCAGTCACTTTTAGACTGTGCAAAGTGTAAATGGAAACCGCATGCTCTGGGACTTTGGCCACACACACGAGCAAACGCCTCAACTGAGCTTGTGTATAAGTAAATGAGGCCCGGCCCCCAAAGGGCCCAGGGATCAGGAAATCGACCTCTCCAAGCTTTTCTCGCAGCAATTTGACAGCTGCCGTCCAATCATCATAGATACCCACAGTAAGGCAGCCCCAAGGCATAGACGTCTTGGAGGACTTTGTCTTCCAACATCTGCAGCGCACAATACCTTGCTCGAAGTCCATCTCAGGCACTGCCACGCGCTGGGCATCAGAAAAACGAAGCGCGCCCCAAAGCATAACCAAGAACACCACACACATCAGTGTAGGTGGATCCAGCTGTGGTCCCGAAGCCAAGGCAGCGAGCACTGCAGCCTCCATTCGCGCCACGGCATACAAAGGCAAAGGTACAGCTTCCTTGCGTTCCTTACTCTCTGCCGCATCGCCCGAACAAGCAACCACGACAGGATTTGCTAAGGTAGCCAGCAAGCGATCCCAGCCCAGCAAGGCAGCCACGAACTTCAGGGAACGCCAGGGGGCGATCGCGCTACGGTGCACAGCACCAAACTGTGTGGCGCAGCACCAAACTTTAAACCAGGGAGCAGCTGCTCCTGTTACCAGCAAGCTGTCCAAACTGACAAGGTACACATTAATGCTCCCAGAGAGGGTTGGTGTTCCTGCCTACCCCGACCAACCGCGAACACCGGTACAGAGAAAGAAAGCCGGCCGTCAAATTTGCCGTGTTCTGCTGCTTGGTGGTGAAGGGGGTGTGAACGGGTATAACTAAAACATACATTAACCCCGGACCCCCGTTAAGATCGTTTTTGCGCCAGCGTAGCGGCATCCGAAACCTAAAATTTGCATCGTAGCGCTGGGTGTTTAAAGCGTTCTTGAGGCTCTAGCTACTTGAGTGTAATTGTCCAGATCCATCACGGGGTATCGGTTTTGGTGGTACGTGTATTGTCGTCTTTCGGAGAAACAAATGCATTTTGTGACTACTCGTCTCTTTCGTTCATCTCGACTCTAGCTCAGATGATGATGCTTAGCGCTGTCCAAGTCATGTTAGCTTTATGTCATCCACTCTTTGTCAGTTTGGTGTAGTGAAGTGGCACTGTAGTGGTGTGATGATCTTGAAGCGTCAATAACGAAAGCTAGGGTGATCTGTTCTCGTCACCGTCTGTGACAGATCTGTGATGTTAATTGCATCAAATGTTTGCTGGTCAGTTTTGGTTATTTGCAGTCGTCTCCTATGTTTCCCTTGATCTTTTCAAGAGAGACCTGGACGCATAGGCGGCTCCGCCTGCAAGGTTGCGCAGAACGTAGCCCAGAAAAAGTATGAAAAAGTCATGTATTATACTACATCCAGGTAAACAAAAAGGAACGTAGCCCAGGCAAAGTGATGTATTTTACTACATCCTGGTGAGAAAAAACCTACAAACATCTACAGTCTACAGACTGCCAAAACCTACAGTGGATACATATCCATCCGAGTCCTCTTTGCTGTACACCTTCCGGCATTCCTGACACTTGGACCGTGCCGTAGTCCCATGGCATTCGATGAGGTTTGCCTCTTGGATGCCAACTTTCCGCTCGAGGCTGTCTATGTTTTGAGTGTAAAGCCTGACGAGACGAGGCTGGAAAAAATTCTGAGAGGAGTCTGAACGGACTCTGTGGACATGCGGATCACAGCTGATCAACTTTCACCCTGGTGTCTAGAGGTTCCGCACAAGCTGATCCAGAGCTGATCAGAATGGTTTCGCATCCAAAGAGGTTCATGACCAAGAAAATGAAGAGAACACAACATGGCAGACATAATGAGGCTCACAGATCCTGTTTCAAAAAATATGAAAAAAGGTGCCAGAATGGCCTTTTCAATATCTTCTTCTTCTCGAGTAGCTTGAGGAACGCATGGGTCAGTGTTGGCTCAACACCATCTACACGAAGTTTTTGCATGACCTGGTTGAACAGCTCGGGGTTTTTGTTCAGAAGGCCACCTCAGAGTTGCAATTTATCTAAGAAAGTCGCAAACAGAAGCGGGCAGCCATGTCTATCTTGTTTCCAAGCACGTTTATCAACTACTGCACGCCTACGCCATCCCTCACTAGACCCTCTTGGACAAGGCGCTTGTGAAGATGGTCTCTGGCGAGGTAATATTGGTGGTGTGGCGTAGCTGATCGTAAAGTCCACCCTTGGAACGAAAATCTGGTAGGTTGGCAGAAACGGAAATGCCCGCACCTGCCATGACCACCACGTTGGAGAACCTAAGCCAATCGGCTCCAAACACGCGAAGTTTCATGTTGCTGCTTTGGAATGCATGTGGGTTGTTGTCTAGTTTGGGAGCTATAACATGTGACTTATCCTTCATTCTGGCCCTGCTTGGAATTCAAACATCGTCACTGCTGTTTAAGGTGTAGTATAGTGAAAATAGCTGTGAGTCTCCCTTCCCTACAAGGTCCTTCCACAATCTTTGCTGTTACTTTGAACCCTCCCCATAACCTAGTTGCAGGTTTGCCAGATGTGGGACGGGGGCGATCCTCGTTTGGTGAGAATGGATCGAAGTGCAGTGTAGGAGTGTAAGCTATCACCTTGTTGCTTGCCATCTCACTTTAATTGTTGGATTGGCTGCGATTTTTTTCAAGCCTTGTGAACCTACCTACCGACCTACAGACCCACCTACCGGTTACCGACTTAGCTACCTACCTACCTACCTACCTGCCTGCCTGCCTAAAGGGTTTCAACCTACCCACCTGAAGGGTCCGTGCTGGTTCCATGCATTTTGCGCAAGAGCAAAGCTTGCAATGACAAGAAACTTTCCAGCCTTCAACTCTGATACAATGAGACCAGCCTGCTCATCTCTGGCATCCAATGACAGTGGCTCCGGTGGATCCATTAGAGCCATATCTGCACATGGTTTGGCCACATTGTCTTCTGGAAGCTGCTCGGTGATAGCTTCCTCAGCAATTACATGACAACTGTTGCAAAACATGTCAACCTCTTGACTACTCCCTTCCAAAAAACATACTTCGACCCTTTAATTGAACCACACGGCTGCTTTGATTCTCAGGTCTCTGGATCATCATCTACTGTACCTTTTGTGACGTCAGGTAAGAAAGGGACACATTTGGGATGCATAGTCTTTGAAGAAAGCCTCGATCTCTGCCTGGATCTGGTCATACGCTGCATCGATCCACCGCGTCAGCAACTCAAACCATGCAATCGCTTTGCTTGCGGGTATGGAGTAGCTAGGGTCAGTTCCTTCTTTCCTGAGCCAATGATCCGAACAAGGTGTCCACAAACAGATCTGCATTCAATGCAAGCCTCTCGAAGTGGACATCATGGAACCAGTCCGAATGTAACTCGATTCAGAGGATGGAAAAAGACTGAACACGTAATCAATGATCAATATGGATCTACTTTTGCTAGTGCTCTGTTTGATGTTCCTTTTTGTGTCTTTCCCATCTTCCCCTCTTCTGTGCTAGCTTCTCGTAAAGGTCGTGCATCTCTTGCAGTGTGCTCACGACAATGAGCTTGTTGTCAGGGGCACTCCAATGCAAACCTTCCTCAAGAGCAACACTCAAACCCTGCAGTCAGTGCTAAGCATTGTAGAGAAGGATGATACAGCCAGCAAGAAAGGCAGAAATGGTTGCGGCAAGTCCTACACCCGGTGAAAATGAACAAAGTAAATTTGGATAAAACTGGTGTGCTGAGTAAGTGTGACATTTGTATCTGGGCAACAAAACCTTTGCAATCTTCATTCAATTTCCAATGTTTCACATCTTGGAGTTTGACAAATCTTACGAAAGGACTGCCCTTCGAAAGAAACAAAGAAATGGCTGTGACTTGTAATTTGCAAAGCTCAAACTCTGTGACTCCGGCTCAAACCTCCTTGCCAAGTGGCTGACCGGACGAGATGAGCGAGTCGCAGGGAGCCTTTTTTGATGGTATCAAAGGCATCTTGAGCAAGAGCTGATTCAACCCACCTGCACCAGATTGATGAAAGTTTAAGCGGAACCATGAAATGCACAAATCTTACCAACACACATGAACACATCCAAACTCAAGGCTCAGGACGCTATAAAGTGTGACCACTGCTCTTTTGGGCAAAAGGATATGCCAGCAACTAAGAGTTGTGCTTCGCAGGGTAGTTTAGACCTACCTTGATCTCTGCAAACAGTGCAAACGTACATTTTGACAGGTATCTTGTGCATGATGTATGTTTGTAATGGAGCATTTGTGAGTGTGTGAAGATTATATGTGCATGTTAATGTGGTGAGAGTTTTTGTGTGTGTGTGTGATACAGAACCTCAAAAGAACATGCATTTGCTACTATGAGCACAGTCTGACAGGAGCTGTGGCCACCTGGCGTTCAAGCTGTTCTTTGCTTCTATTGGTGGTTCGTGTTTTCCAATTCTTCCCTGAGAGAGCGAGAGAGTGAGAGCGGGAGAGCGTGAGAGCGGGAGAGCGTGAGAGGGAGAGAGCGTGAGAGCGTGAGAGCGAGAGAGAGAGAGAGAGAGAGTGTGGGTGTCTGAGTGAGAGCCACTCTGGGGACATAGATCTGTGCAGTTTTGGTAACCCACAATACCATAATATCAAAACTGCAGAGCCCATTAAAAAATGCCGTTGCGTTGCTTTAATCTGTTTGTAGCTGGTTTGAGTTTATGATATGTATGCTAAAAATGAAGCTAGTTGTTTTCTGAAATACACTAGACCTCGAAGGGCTCCTCTTCCTCTCCTCTGATCGCGACTCCTTGCGCCTCCTTCTGCGGCGCCTCTTCTTCTTCTTCTTCTTCTTCTTTTTCTTCTTCTTTTTCTTCTTATTCTTCTCTTCCTCTGACCTTTCCTCCTTCTCACCACCAGACTGGGCAGGAGACGCAGATGTGACCTCCCTTAGCCCTGGCGTCCTTCCTCTATCCTCTTCTTCTCTATCTCCTTCCTCTTCTTCAGTCTTCACTCGAAGCCTTTTGTCACCTGATGGATGCCCCTCGGATGGTGGGGGTGATGACTTCTTCTTTGCATTCAAGGTCCTCCTTGCCTCTGCTTCTGGAACCTCTCGTCTGGCTGGTCTAGGGGCTGCCCGACCTCTGTCTCTAGCCTCTGATGCCTCGGATGCACGACGCTCCTCGTCTCCTTTCCCTCGCTCTCCTGATGCTCTCACTTGACCTGTCTGCCGGTTCGAATCGATCTCCTTCTCTTCTGACCTGGCTGCCTCAGAGGTGTCTTCGCCTTCTCGATGACCAGGACCTGAAGGAGGAGGGACAGGAGGCCGAAATCCTGGAGCTCTCCGACCAGGTTTCGGGTGCGCAGTACAGCGTACGGGACAAACCCGTCCAGCTCCTAGATCTTCAGCCCGGCACTTTTACAGGGTCCGGCGCCGGACTTCCAACTCTGGTGTTTTTCTGGATTTGGTCCGGCACTTTTTCCAAGTCACTTTATGTGGATTCTCAAGGCTTTGCATTCTTTGTGGTTTGCATTTGTTTGAAGGTAAACCCACTACTGATGCAAAGAAATTTGTTTGCAAAGTGTGCTCGTTTGCCTGTTCCGCTGTTTTCTCATTCCACCGGTTTCAGCATGGTTCACACTGGATCAATCAGATCCGTTTAGGTGATCTTCTAAATGAAACCGGATGAAACCGGTACAGTGCGATGCACGTGTTGAAAGACCCAAGTGGGTGTACCTAAGCTGAAAGAACATAGGCACTAACGTACTCCCATTGTTTCAGGATGTTGGGGCGCTGGGATATAGTTCCAGCTGCGCAGGTTTGCAGAGCCTGCCGGACAAGTTTTGGGCTGTGGAACATGTGTTGTTCAGAATCTCAATGTTTTGCAGAGAGTTGCCAAAAAATGGCGCGTCGTAACTCCGGCGTAATTTCCCGTAACTCCGGCGTAATTTTTTGGACTGAGTCTTCTGCAGGTTTTGATTTTGAAAAGTTGTTCAAAGAAGAGTTTTGACAGGAACCATGAGTTCTGCTACTTTCTTGGGGGGGCCGTCCTGAGGCAAGCTTTAAAGAAACATGGAGAGCAACCCACTTTGCAACAAAAAACTTTAGAGACACGGTTGCAGATAAAGAGGGGTTCCTTGCCACATACTCCTTGGTTTCTTCTTGGAAGTCTTTGCTTGGGCACGAGTTGCTTACATTTTGTGATGGTTCTGCTCTTAGGCCATTCGGAAGATGGGCGAGGGCAATGGGAACGGGAAGGCTCCAGTGCTGGGCTGTGGAATGAGTGTGCTCCAGAAAAACAATTCGTAGCGCAAAGGCAGTTTCCGTGTGTATGATCCAGCCTTTTATCATCTCTCTTTTTCAGAATCTTGGATCCGGATGTTTTTTCACGTCTCCGGCGTATTTTTCGGAATCCGGGGAAAATTTTGCCGGATTGAGGTCCGGCACTTTTTTCCGCCCAAAGGAGGATCCAGGTATTATATATATATATATATGAGCGTCAGAAGCCAAAGAGAACAGGTGTTGCAGCCAAGAACCCCTCCTTGGCATCAACGTTATACAAAATTAAGGGAAGAGGCAGAGGTGCGCTCACATGCCCATCTTATTCCCCGATAGTGTAAGTGTATCTAGGTCGTATCTAGGTCGTATCAGTGCTCTGTCGGCATTCTTGCCGTGTGGCCTGGAATTTCCCTTGGCGGCAATCAATGCTCTCTCTTGGCCGACTTGCTCTTTGCACCTCGAAGTACTTCGGCGCAAAGAAGCTTGCAGCTTGATGCCAATACGAATTCTTCAAGTAGCTTTCTCTTCCAATTTCCGAGTTCCGTTTTGAGCTGACCCACTCATACCGTGACTTACACCTATTCAGAAAAAAACACGAACTCTTGGAACCAAACATAGATGGCACCTAAGCAGAATTGCACATCGTTCTGCAACTGCTTCTCGCGGCTCCGCTTGCTTCACCTCTTCCAATGCGAAGTGCAGGGCCCTGGTCGCAGCAGTCTCACAATGTGACAAGGAGATACAAGGAGTAATACTGCGACACATACGTTATGTGGTATGTACGTACACATGCGTTACATCCTCAAGTCCCTGACAGTCACCCACCCTTTCCAATAGGAGCAAGGACGCTACTAGTAGCTCCTGGCCTTACTACTAGTAGCAAATAGCTACTAGTAACAAAGGGCATCGCTTCTAGGAGCAAGGACGCCACTAGGGGCGCTCCTGGCATCGCTATTAACAACTTCAACATTCACATGAAGCAAGGCCCGCACAGGCCTGCTAGTTGAAGGTACTTAAGCGCACAAAGTTGACAAAGGGCGTGCGGCGTGCTTTTCCGCTGGAAAAGACTTTGGCTCATGACCACGAAAGCTGGTTGTCTGATCCCTCGTTTGAGATCCTATGGGGCAATGAAACCTCACTGCATGCCTATGGGATTCACCATTATGTCCCCTTTTCACTGAGCAACAGGATCAAGAGGCATTCTACCGTTGACAAATGATATCCTGCGCTGCGTGGAACCCCTGCATATAAATATGTTAGAACGAATTGGTAGACGACTTCCTCCTTCAACAACAGCCGCAGAGTCATGAATGATATTTACAAAGCGGGCTTGGTTTCGTGGTTGGAGCCTGACGATCCCGTGCAAAAGTTTTCCAACCAGCACATGGTAGGCACTGTCACCACTGCTGCAAACCATCAAATAGCGGTCCATCCAATTGTTGATCTTGTCAGAGATTGCATCATCCACCAGTCGTCGTTGCACGATGAGTCCTGGATAGGCATTTCAAGAAATGAATAGATCGAGACGGCATCTTGCTGCTGGGGGCAAGGTTCATCATGCAAGGAACAAAAAAGAAAGCCAAACTAATTAGCAACTTATCGGTTGATTCCTCATGTTGCTGTTGTTTTGGCTTGCTTGGCCAGCGCTGTCGAAAGCTTGCTATGCTGCAGGCAAAAACCTTCAGAAGAATGAGATCTTGCTGTCTTACCAAAACACCAAAGGCTCTAGCCATCCAAGTGTCCAATTGATATCTGCTCTTGCAGCCGCAGCACATCCTGCGTTTGCTGACAGTCTATGAGGAGCAAGGTGCCTGTAACTCCAAATAACCTTTCAAGGATAATCAAGCTAAGGATATTTCTTTGGGTCCTTGGTGATTGTCCCACTATCCTGTCTATCTCTGAATCCTTGACTTCATCCTCAACATACTACCTCTATCCGCCTCGTTGCCTGCTGACTCCTCCTTTTGTCTTCGTTTTGCTTGGCACAGATTGCACCGACTCTATACAGCAGGAACCGGTCAAACCCAGGTTGAAATGTCGACAACTGCAGTTCCAGCCCAGGATGAACATGGTTCTCAGCTCGTACATGCTACCATCAACTTTCACAAGGGGGTCAATTGATATCTCTGCTCGAAGCCGCACTTGGTCTGTGACAGTCCAAACGTATTGACATTGAAATAAGACTTGTGTCCATGTTTTCGTTTTGGGGACCTTTTTACAGCAGTCCTGATGACGAGCTTCTAGTTTGCCAAGCTCAGCCAAGCTTGATGCAATCTTTACCAACTCGATGAGTTGTCGCAAAGACTTGTCTGTCTTTCCACGCTGCTGCTGCAAGCGCTCGCTGGCCTTCGTTGTGCCACTGTCCTTCATTGCTTCATCTGCACTCGCTGCACATGCACGGCAAGAGAGTCCGCGTTCGATTTGCATCTCGTGCATCAAACGGGTCATGCCACTGGCCATGCTCGCGAAGTAAAAGCAGCTACTGGATTCTGCATGCGCATGGGTGGTGAGCTCCTGCACGTAGCCTTCTGCCCAGCTTTCCTCCAGAAACTCCCCCATCCCCTCCAAGGTCATGGACTGAGAGGCTCGTCGAGAGGTTGGCGTTTGAGTCTTGTCCTTCGTGCCAGAGTAACAAACAGAGTGTTATGATGCCTTTCAAACATAATGACATTATGTTGCATATATGGTCTGTGCCTGTGCTCATTCATGCTCATTCCCTTCTTTATTGCAGTTCTCACATCTTTCAACTTCCCTATGGCAAATCCTGACAAGCTTCCAGGGTGGATTCTCCATCGTCCATGGGTGGCAAACCTCCCCACCAATGTGCGGTCTCTGGCCCATTTGAGTGCTGGCGACCAAAGTGCAAGCTCACCTTGTGGGTGGCCAAGGAAAGACTTAAAGTCAATATAACGGCTGTTGTGATCTTTTTGTGTCGTTTTCTGCCTGTGCTGCACATTCCTTTCTGGGCTCAAACCTAGAATCCCTTGAGGCTTTGGCCTGGGCAGGCACCAACTTCTCGCTGGCACTTGCTAAACGCACTTTGCTGCGACGTGCTGCTTCCAGGTCGTTTGAGGCCAAATTGACTATGATGGCCATTCTGGGACGCCGCTGCCCAAACATTTCCTCATTGACCAGGCCCAATTCAGAGTGAGAATTGAATGACAGAACCACAGAGACAAAAGTGGCTAGAGTCCTAGAGTCGTGCAACCAGTGCGAGCCTGCACTGCTACCACCAACAACAGCATTCTCCAATACACAAAGGTGGACGTGTGATAGCTTCAAGTTGATGATCTGTCTAATGTAAACTGCACCATGTTACCTTGTCTTTTTGTATTCAGAGGGAAGCTGAAACAAGTTAGGAACACTGGTGCGCCGACTATTTCAGACAATTGTCACCATTTGAGAGTGGTGCTTCACAGCCGACTAAGCACCTTTCCCTCTGCTTTGGTGACCAACCTGCCTCCATGTTATGAATTAAATCAGTCTCGAACACTCGTCCCAAGACGGGAGAGGGTGCTCTGTGCTCTGAAAGGAAAGGCTGAAGGAGTTCCAGCAATAGCTTCTTGTTACTACTAGTAAGGCACCTGTTACTACTAGCGATGCACCTGTTACTACTTGAATTCCTGAGTTTACAAGCAGATCCTACAGGACTTGGAGCTTGACACCAAGCCACCAAACCCAGTGCTCACCTGAGTGCTCACCTAGTGGAGGAGACTTCGAAGATACACGCAATACCATACAATACCATGATTGTCTGCCCGCCTCAAGTGACTCAAGTAGATCTTACCTGGATCATCTGGATCAATGACAGGGCTGTTTCCCTAAAAACTTCTCCGTGCCGACCCTTCTTTACCTTCCCTACCTTCCCCACCCGTCTCCCCTGTAGCAGCTCACCCCCCAGCACCCTCCCAAAAATGGAACCAAACTTGGTGCCTCGCGTCCTCGTCGCCTTCGCCAAATATCACCTCTGCGGATTCCATCCTCAGGACAAAGCCCTCCCACGGAAGTGCGACTCTCGACAATCGGGTTTGCCAACTCAAGCCAAGTCAGCTGACACCACTCGCCAAATCACGGCAAACCACGTGAACCCTTGATACATCTTGATACCTACAGTTTTGCAAGTGTGGCTGTCCCAAAATCTGCTCGTGTTCCAGTCATTGTTCAACAACATTGTCAGTACCTGGTTTGTACGTGTCTTAAATCTTTACAATGACATAGAAGTTCCCACTCAAGAAATACACATGTCACTGGCAACTAATATGCAACACATCGGGAAACATGATCGGCGCTATTCCCCACATTGCAGCGATCTTCCAGTACATGTTCTCACTTGGAGCAACATCATGGGTTCCTTACACCTTGAAGCAACCCTCAACCAGCGATCAGCTGTTGGACTTGTGGAAGCAGGTTCTTCAACTCATCCATTTGTAAGTGCACGGTGGATTTGGACTTTCTAGCTGTCGATGCAAGTTAGTAGTCCATTTGAACAGCCATGCTAGCCATGTAACCCCTGGGTGCAAACGGTCCGCCCACCGATCCCTTCGTCCACAGCAAGGTGTCTACTCTTGGCCGTACGGTGCCTCTAGGTTCGCATGTAGATGCTTCCCACAAAAAATTTATTACACACGCCCTGACATGACCGCTGCGTAACACAAGTGTGGAAATTGGGCAAACCAGAGATAATCAAAGTTGCATTAACACAATGAGTCTCTGCATAAGACCTCAACAAGAGACGCATCAAACCTTTACAGTAATCAAATAGTTTGGTCGCCTCAGCCTAGCGTCTTGAGATTGTGTTTGAGCTCGTTGTTCACTCTCTTGATTACTGATGAGCACATCTTACCAAGAACGGTGCGCTGAAAGACATCTAACAATGACCATTCGGAGAGCTGTGCCCTTGTCAAGTCTGCTGCTTGCAGCTCACTTTGCAAAGCAAATCCCAGAACGTCACCCAGCTTATCGGTGGCTTGCTTTGTGGTAGAGCCTGCAACAGCCATAAGCATGTAGGTGTTCCAGTTGACGACATCGCATACTACCTGAGCTGTAGGTGAATTTGAAACAACTGCCTATGATATCCTATGATTATGATTAGGAAGCTCAAGCTGCTCGGGCTCAGGACGATTTGAGCCGAGCTGCTATCTTCTGAAGATCTGGCAAAGAGTCTATGAAACTTCCAAGCAACTGAGACTTGGAATCAGGGAATAAAAGGTCTGGAGGCGCAAGTAAATGCTCGGAAATTGCTTTGCCGCCATAGCCATTTCCAGCTGGTAGAACATCATTGAGGAAGACGCGGTCGATGGTCCAGGTGCGCTCTGTGACGTTCATCCAAGTCACAAAGTGAGAATGTTCTGGGGTGCCCACCACTGCCTCCTTGGACACAAATCTCTAATAGCATCTGATAGCGATGGCCTCCAACCTAATAGCGATGGCCTCCAACCAAAGCAATAGGGACAACTGAATGTGCAAGTTCGAGATTCGTGCACCATGTGGGAAAACTGAGCAAGGTGGCCAGCTGCAGAGGCCTGCTTCTGGGAGATGAAGAACGTGCGCATCTCCAACACAAGAGATTGGTCTGGATCCTGCGCGACGAAGTGGTTCCGACTGGTTCCGATATCGAGAGTCTTGTTGCTTCAGCATGTTCAACTCCTTTCACTTCTGAGTTTTGGGTGAACGCCACAAACTGGTACAAGGCACCAAACTGATCTGCTGACGGACACTGGGTTCTATTCGCGGGACGTCAAAAGTACAGACCAGTGGCAAACGCTCAATGGCAAGCAAAGAACAGCAGATAGTAAGCATTCCAACCTACTAGCAATGGCCTCCACCCTACTAGCGATGGAACAAGCTTGAAATCCGTCCTTCTTTCCACTTAGCATTTCCTTCATACTTCGGTGCACCAAGCCCATGCCCACGTATTTTTGGTAGCCATCGACAACAAAACCTGGCCGAACCATCGCTGCTTCCGCCGGTCATTTCAGGGACGTCATGGCCACCACAGGATCTTCAAATCAAAACAACTACGCAGAGAGGTCGAGGAGACCCATACTTCGGCCAAGAAACCTGCAGATGATGGGCGTATGTTATATTCTAACTTATTCTGCGTCCATCGCAAGGGAAGAGGAAGATCCTCATTCACCACTTTCTGGTTGAGGCCGTTCACAAAGCCACCGATCGAGCCTGAACTTGGAATTCGGGCAACAGGATAGGAGGATGTGGAGCTGTGTTCCTGAGCTGCAAAACTGTACGGATCGCTGGACTTGCCACTGTGTTCTTGAGAGGCAGAATCCTGGCCCGTGGGGCTGCTCAGATGGTGGTTTTTTCCTCAGGAACACGAGAAGCATGTGCAGAATTGCATAGAATTGACATATAGAATAGGGGATGCTCTTCTGAGCAGTTCAAAAGCAAAAAAATGGAAACGCGACAGCAACTGTTCTTGATATGGTTTTGCAAGGTTCTGCTTCTTCTCGGCCGCCAACAACGATGCCATGCTTTGGGCATGAGCAAATAGCGCAAGTTTGAATCCTTCACAAATCTGCCGTGCAGTTGACGCCGCATCCTCCGTGTCATCATCGAGTGGCCTCATCCAATAAGTGTCGCACATCGTTGGCGTCGAAGAATCCGAAGTCCTTACTCAGGATACTCAAGTCGGGCTTGAACGACTTCAATCCAAGATAGCCCACGGGCACTCATGGATCACACAAAAGCGTCGCCCAATGCTGCCATGCAAATGTAGCCCTGCTATGAAAAAAACTCAAGTATGTATGCAATGTATACCCCCAACAAAACTTTGTGCTGCCTGGCGTCATCAAAGCAGCACAGTCCAGTCTGAGCTTTCGACGTGCCATTGTTTCTGCAATGAGCCCTCGCTCGCCTCCCCTCATGGGACATTTAACAAAGAGTCTCAGCAATCCTTTGGCATCTCGCACTTGGCCTCACTGGTCGAGAAAGTACTCGCACGTCATGCAGCTCGCTGATGTTTGCTGTCCTCTTGTCAACTTCTTTGCAGCTGTGCAGCTCATCAGCATTTTTGCTGCTGGCAGCTCTTCGCAAATAGACTGAGCAGTCGCTTCTTCCACTTCCACTTGAGTCGAAGGTGATGCTGTCATGTAGTCCTGAACTTGAGACATCTCATGTAGAAGTGAGGAGTTGTCTTCAAAATCTACCTTTCTGGCTGACTTTGCCCGTATCAAACTGGTCAGTCACTACCAGACTGGTGCATGGCAGAAATGCAAATTCAAAGCTAGCTGCCTTGATTGGGCTTCGGATTTTCTTCTTCACGGTAAGCTCGAAGGTCTGGTCAATATGCGACCCAACCTGCGAGATTTCAGCTGTTATCAAAGACTCCGCTGCCGCTTTAGCTCTCATGAGAAGCCTAGGTTCTCGGAGCCATGGCATATTAGGAGATACATGTGATCACAACAACTATGTAGATCTAAGTAGTAACAAGTGCATCGCTACTAGGAACAAGTGCATCGCTACTAGTAACAAGTGCCTTACTAGTAGTAACAAGGTTTGCTATTAGAATTAAATTACTGCACCCCTTTCAAACCTCCATGTGTCGAACCCTGGAGCCGCTACAAGGACCACCACAACTTGCGACAAGAGAACTGTGGCTTCTGCAAACCCACTGTGTTCACCTATATACCTCCATTGACCAATAAAGAACATATCTGACACAGACTACAACCCGTCGCTGGACTTGCCTTCAGCAATGTCCCAGACGTGAGGCATAGTCTCCTCTTCCTTGGCTCTGATCTCAGGTCTATAAATTCAAAACACACACACACACAGACAGAGAGACTGTGATACAAGGAGTCCTTAGTGGTTGGCATTTCTTTGGTGTCCGATGCTGTCCCCCTTAGCTGCCTTTGCTCTTGTGGGTGGGCATGTGGGTATACTATGTCATGTTGATTATACGCAGTGTCAATCATATCTTGAAGTGTTTCGTTGCTGTATCGTCTCACCTTTCTTTTGGTGTACCACTTTGCCCAAGCTTCTGCAAGGCGACCTCCAATCGTTGGAGCTCTTCTGGGCAGTCCAATCCCACGATACGAAGCTCAAGCCGCGAGTTGTCGAGCTTGACAACGGTCAGTGATAACGGCAAGCCTTCCAACTTGAAGAAACCTTGGCACATTCTACAGCTGCGCTGCACTTCTGAATGTGTATATATATATACAATGTATATAACCATATATGTTGAAATCTACATTGCACATGTTCCTTCTTTGAATGGGTGTTTATCAACTAAACCCGGGTCGAATGAACTGGTCCATTCTCCCAGAGCTGTGTAGCAAATCAGTCAATGCTACTGCTAGCTCCAAAGGCAGCTACCAACGAGGCCTTCTGCAGTTTGTACATTGGTTTATATATCTGTGAAAGGACTCTCAACAAATGTTATCAAACTGCTCCAAATGATGCCATTGTTTCATCTCATTCCCTTGAAATATCAATATCCCAGTATTGGGATCTAAACTCATGGGGCGGTGTGAAGTTTGTTGACTGGGCAGATTATCGAGAAGCTCTGTGCCGTAGCTTTCGAGATCTCATTGTCCTTGATGGTCGAACCACAGCAGCCCATCGTCGTTCACTGCTGCCCTTGTGTCAGCGACGGCCCATAGCCGGGCCCACAGCTCACTGCGAGCGAATGGCAACGGATCTGTGATGGCAAGAACGACTTTGGTTACTTTGATTAGATATATATTAAATATCAAAGCAAAAAACACACAAAGCAAATTCCACCTGCTGCCTGGGCTTGCCTGTTCCCTCTTCCAGTATGTGGGAAAAAAACTAAAACAAAACACATGCAAGGACTGCACGAAATTCCCAATCAAGAAATCCTAGATGTTAAGCGATGTTAAATAAGTGCTGGACAGGAAAACGCCAGCAGTCTAAAACTCTGCACATTCCTCCTTGCAGTGTTCAAGCAAGCCATGAATTCAATGTTGCCTGCTTCCCATGATATGCAAGTAGAGGATAGGTAAATACATGACTGCCTCCCCATCTCAGGATCAGACAAACTCATCTTGCTGGCGCAGAACTTGTGGCTGGTGCAGGCTTGCTTACCTGCTCATAAACAATATATAACTATAACTGCCCGGCATTTCCACTTCAGCGTAACCCCTTTGCCAAACTACAGTGTACGACAACCGTGTACATGCCCCCATACTTTATTGTGTGTGTTTGTGTGTGTAACCCTTGGAGTCATAGGGATCCTTTCGGATTCTAGCAGGGGGTGCCAGGGACCGTGCAAGTCCGGCACTAACAAAGACGCTTGCACTGGTCTGTGAAATCAATCCGGGACGCCGGATTGACGTACCTGCGTGGAGAGAAACCTACTTAATGGACAAGCTGTTCCAATGCTGTGTTTTGCAGTAAGCGGCTAATGCAGCGGTGCTTTTCCTTGAGTGCTTGGACCTTGGGAGCTCCACTGACTTCCTCGAACCGTCGTCACCCTGTCGTTGTCGTTCGCTTTCGTGGTCATAGGTTTGGAGGCTTCTAATTTCCTACCTGGAATCTTAGGCGGTTTTACCTAGGCTGGCGTGTGGCACCGCATTCAGTTCCGTACACAATATCTCAAGTGTGTTTGGCTTCGTGCCAACCCGGGATGAGCCCGCAGAGTGCCTCCCGTGGACCCGTCGAACGGGTGTATGTCGCTGTTTCCCATGCTCTGGAAACGTACGTGCCCACAGCGGGCGAAGGTGGCCTAGGCCGTACGTCGGATGATTTTTGTCCCATCTTTGGAATTCCAAGTTGGCACATGCCTTTACGTGACCGCAGCGGTCAGAGGTGGCAGCCTTCGGGCAAGCCGTACGTGGTCGAAGCGACCGAAGTCTGTTCAAGGTTCATTGGAACCTGTCAAGCACTTAGTTCCCCCTCCTCCCCCTTCCCTCCCCCTTTCTTTCTTTGCTTTCTGGGGTTTTCCTGAATGGAATACTCAGGATCACCCCTCTCTTTCTTGGGTGTGTCCCTGGACGATTGTTCATAGCTGGGAACACCTTCCTTTCCTCTCTCTTTCTCTCCCTCTCTCTTTCTTTCCTTCTCTCTTTCCTCTCCTCACCCTCCTCCCTGGGTGTCCCTGGATGCTTCGTCATAGCTGGGAGCCCTTCTTTTTGGTGTGTCCCTGGACGCATGTGTCGTAGCTGGGAGCACCTTTGTCTCTTTCTTTCTTTCCCTCTCTTTTCTTCCTCCCCCTGCCCCCTCTTTCCTCGCGGGCGTCGTGTTTACAAGCAAACTAGGCTTCTGCAACAGGTTTTTCTAATGAGGTTTGGTTTGTCATCGGTTTGTCCCCGTTCATTTGGTTCCCCTTTCATCGGCCCCCACAGACCGTTTTTTTCCTCTTTTCTTTCACGTCTTTCTGTCTTCATGTCTCTTCATCCTCATCCTTTCTTTCTCTTGCGCGCACTATCGTCCGGACCTTAGTTTGTACACATACACGCACGCGTACTTTACTTACAGCAAGGTTCAGGTGGCCCAGGTTCGTTACAATGAGGTTTGGCTCATCGGTTGTCCCTCTTCACTTGGTTCCTTTTCATCGGCAACCACACACACCTTTGTCTGTCTTGTCCTTTTCATTTTCATCTGTCTCTTTTGCGTGCACATGTGCCTACCTCCTTTCCGGGCAGGATGGAGGTCACACATGCCTCCCTTCGGGGAGGCGTGTGTGTGTAACCCTTGGAATCATAGGGATCCTTTCGGATTTTAGCAGGGGGTGCCAGGGACCGTGCAAGTCTGGCACTAACAAAGACGCTTGCACTGGTCTGTGAAATCAATCCGGGACGCCGGATTGACGTACCTGCGTGGAGAGAAACCTACTTAATGGACAAGCTGTTCCAATGCTGTGTTTTGCAGTAAGCGGCTAATGCAGCGGTGCTTTTCCTTGAGTGCTTGGACCTTGGGAGCTCCACTGACTTCCTCGAACCGTCGTCACCCTGTCGTTGTCGTTCGTTTTCGTGGTCATAGGTTTGGAGGCTTCTAATTTCCTACCTGGAATCTTAGGCGGTTTTACCTAGGCTGGCGTGTGGCACCGCATTCAGTTCCGTACACAATATCTCAAGTGTGTCAGATTCCAATCAAAGGAAGCATTGTTTTTATGTGTGAACGATGTGTTTTCACAACTACATAGGGATATGAAGGTGCGAAGATGTCAGTGGGCAGGTGCGGAACATGAATGTGTAACGTGCATCGCTGGACAGGTTGTAATGCCCTTCGCTCATAACCTGTTCTCAACAGTCTGAAGGCCAAACCCGGTCAACTTGCAGTCCAAACGACCCCGGAAACGACCAAGACTGGCTGACGCAGGAACTTTGAGATCCTGAATTAGAGCCTGCTTCTGTTGGGCAATCAAACTACCCTGTGCAGATCAAGCCGCCAACCGTTCTCCCAAAACAACGGTAGGGCCTGTAGGGATTCTCTTTGTCGCCGATGAACCATTCAGACGCTTCTCTGAAAAGATGTGATTGTGGAGCGCATGATGGGAAATTGAAGACATCATTGGTGACATCCACCACGGCCGCAAACAAAGAATCCCAATCACAACAAAAATGATCAATGCAACCTCTGCGAAAACACCAGCAGCCCCACAGCTGCCTCCACCGTCGCAGCCTTGGCGTAGCGGCTTCAGCCATTGAAGGACCTCCCACCGCCTTGGCCTGGAAGAAGGAGGCACATCAATGGCCATCAATGTAGACTGAGAATGGCCATCAATGCTGTATTCCTCAAGGAGAAGATTGAACGTTGTAGTGAAACATTGTAGGCTATTAGCATGATTTTATAACTGGTGTCCAACAAATTGAAGGACTGCTAATCCAAAAGTCGTATTCATCCAACAACGGTGCTGCTGGGTACGAGTCCACATCCACCGTCTGGCTGCCAAGATACGATGGACTCAAAACACAGGGATGCCGCCGTTGTGCATGCAGCAGCAAGGACCTGGCTATGGGTCACATAACCCAGTCGAAGATGCTGATTCCAAAATCCTTACGATCTACCATCCGAAAGCATGGAAATGAAATTGGCAAGTCCATGAGGATGCCAGGCGGCGTGGACTTTCTTCTTTCGTTTGACGACCACTGTTGCGACAAGAGCCACGGGAGTGCAACTGTACATAACTTGTTCAGACACGACACTGACATGATGCAGCTGCCAAGTGCAGTCCAGGCATTGACTAGAGCTGACCAAAACCGTCTGACTCCTCTGACCAATCGAATTTCAGGCATCTCCTGTCCCATGGCTCAAACATATTACGTCCACAAGCATCACCAAACCAATAGGGCGCACCCGCACCCAAATAGTTTGGCTGCTCAGGCGGCCACCAGAAGGAGTTCAACTCCCAGCTGTTGCCCAGAAGCTGCACCTGTCATCAGAAATTCAACCCCGTGCACGCATTGGCCAAATGGCTGATGCAACAAAGTGATTGAATCACATCTGATCACTACGTTAGATTTCCAAGTTGGAAAACGGGCAGGTGACATCATCTTCCTGTGCGTGGTTTCTGTTTCTTTCAGCCCGGTGCCTGCATGAGTAAGCACGTGGCAGCCATAGGCCAAATGAATAGGTTAGGCCACAACGCCATTCTCACTCCAAGAACCAGGGTGAGGTCGAAGACTCAGTCGAGCTCCCCTTCAGATACAGGCGCAACCCTCAACTCCTTGACATTTTAGACCCATCTTCACCATACATGCCCTATCTCAGCTCATCCCCTGCCTATAGCAAACTTCGTGGATCGACCATCCCAAATCCACAAGTTGGTTCGCACTGCATCGCAAAGGATCGTCAAAAACCAAATGGCCAGCCGAATTCTCGACATAGACCTGCCAGTGTCAAAGTCTTGGGAGCTCCCAAGCAAATTGTCATTTTCTTCGGAAGAATCGCATGTTGCGTTTGAAAAGAGCCTTACGGATTCCTCTGTCATCTGCGCCCTCCTATCTGGGAAGGCAGCAGGGCAGTGCACATTTGATAAATCATGCACCAAAAAAGGGAGAAATGAACGAATTTTAAACATTGCTCCTCCAAAGTGCGCAACACCTTGAGGCAGGAAAATGGGTCACCCTCAACGTCTTCCAGTGCCTGCAGCGTTGATCCACGACACTGCTAGGCAAGCATTCAAATCAAGTTGCAAGACGTGGCAAGCTTTCAAGCAAGGCACCCAAACAAGAGAGGACAACTGACCATCCATGACGCTTGCTCCATGCACAAATTGATATACATTGTATAAAATTACAAGCTGCGACGTCAGCCTTGTTCAGGTAGCCCAAGGGAATGTCGCCAGCCCAAACCTGAAATGACACAGGCAACTCTTGCAAACGCCAGATGACGTCAATGCGTTCGCGTCAGGCCTGCAAGAAACGAAGATCTAGCCAAGCCTGTAGCAAGCGAGCTCAAAACACATAAGGAAGATTGACTGATTCGTCAAGTGAATAAAGAGGCCTTGTCTGATGCCAAACAACAGAGACTTTAGAAGCTAGCAAAACTGGCATCATCCAGTTGTCCTCGATTAAAGTGATGGAACAAATCAAATCTATCTTTCTTGAGCAAGTACAGTGAGCTTGGAACCCGGCAGGCACCACACCATCCTCCAGCAGCTCGACTCGCAGCGCGGTGCCACTGCTTTCTGCGCAAAGAACCCGGAACCAAATGTAGCCCTTCTCAAGTGGTATCTCAGAGTCAATGACGAGCTGGTCCTCGCACAACTTCGCAAAGACCTGTAATTGCCCTCATGTACTCCAGGGACTCTAAGAAAAACATGGCAAACCCACATTAGCTGTTACAGTAGATGTGAAGTGCAGGTACCATTGGGGTTAACTTGGTCAGGCATACATAGCGTTTATAAAGTATAGACAATCCTATTCTCTGCCTATATTACTGTGTATATAACATATATATATATACTTTATATTACACATTTGGTATTGTATTATGTTTGTTCCTCTTGCACTCCCTGGTCTCATACTCTGATGGAGCCGAGACGCATCCTTCTTCGGCCCAAGCCAATCCAACTCCAAGAGCTGGCACCAATACTTCCCACCCATCTGGCACTCCTGTCACAAAGCAGGCATGTTTGCCCAATTTGCTTCTGCACGGGTCCCATGCGTAGGCCCTCTGCTTAGGCCAATTAATTGTCAATCTGCAAATCAATATAGGTGGCCGAAAGACTCTTTTGTGGCTGTTCGGTTGGTTGAAGGCGGTGTCAGCCGTCCTTTGGCTCTCCCTCACTGAGGCCAGGCACACCCAGCAACTGCCAGAGCGCCTGTCGCAAAAATCCAGAAATCTGCCGGGCCAATATGATTCAGTTGGACTAGATTTTGCATAATCTTGCCAACACATGCATGACCTCTCAACAGGCTCCCATCGGCCCACGATTCTCCTAGGATCCCTATAGGCCCTTGGAACATCTTGGAACCCTTGCCTCCTCGTTGAAGTCTCCACTTCCCAATGAGAGCTCGACCCTGCCGTGATCACCCAGGCCCTCAAAGGTGCCAATGCGCCGCACTCGAAAAGGCCAACCTGCTCGAAGAGAAACCGAGCAGATTGACTGACTAGCTCCGACGAGCTATTCGGCGAACAGAATCGCACACATACTTCAAGAACCCTAAAGTTTACGCTTCTTACTCTGTTCCAACATGACACTTGCGGTTTACAGCGGATCGGATTGACTGGTCCATTTTGCCTGGCAGGTACAGCACGGTCAGATTTCCACACCCGTTTAAATCTATAATACTTATAATGCTTTCAGGTGTCGAAATCTGACCGCAACTTAGGTGTCGACATGTTGCACGTAGGATTCTAAGGGGAAGGGGTTTGTCCCGTTTTAGAAGTCAAGAAGCGCAACTTTCGGCACCCCAGTGTACGCAACATTAATTATATGTCTTTGCAGGATTTTGCAGGAATTATATGGAACATTCTGGCACTATTGTCTTTATTTGTCCGAGGATGTCTGAGGTGTCGTTATTCCATGATTGGCGCCTCCCAAACTTAGCAGCACAAAGCTGTGGCCCTCCCGATTGCTGCGTTGAACCGTCGGAGGCTCGATGCTCATTGTGATGTGGCAAAGCAGTTGACTCACCGGCAACACCTTGGCTCTCAACTCAGAGCTCTCACGATGCAAAAAGTCTAACCAGTTAAGAGGACCTCTTCAAAGGGAAACAAATCTGATACTCATACTCAGTTGCATCGTTGAACACTTCGTTCTGCTGTAAGTCTTGGGCTGAGTCGGAGAAGTCTTCTGCATTCAAGCCCAGTGTGATCGCCCCATTCCTTCGCGCATCAAACACAACTTCTCAGGCTGTCTCTTCGTTTCAAGCTTGCTTCCAGATTTGGGGGCTCAAGCCAACGAGCCAGAAATAGCAATGCTTGACCTGTCTCGAAGGCTGCCGCACAAGTGTCTCACAAGAGCGCCGCGATTGGCTCTCGTAGGCTGTGTGGTTACCTCTCTTGGGAATGAAATCCTCAAAAGAGTTTGCGAAGCAGCAAGAACCATGCTCAAGTCAACTCCACTCAGACTACCCTTTTGCAGTTTAGGGGTTTAACGTACACATTGTGAGGCTAAGAAAGCACGAAGCAAATCTGCACGTGTCCTGCAATGGAAAGTACCAATTGCTGTCTCTGACACCATCGTATTGCATGACCTCCGCACGAATCGTCATTGACTCCTGGAGAGTGCCAAGGGTGCTGTCGAGAGTGCCAAACTAGCAAGAGACCATCCGTGCTATTGTTTCCTAATAGCGATGGCCTTCAATCTAGTAGCAATGGCCTCCAACCTCATAGAGATGGCCTCCAACCCACCAGCGATGGTCTCCAACCTAACGGCGATGGCCTCTAACCTAAGATGGCCTCCAATAATTTGTTGAACTTGCCCAGAACGACGGTTTCTAAGCCTTGCAAACTGTTGTCACAGTTGTCTGTCACTCCTGGGGCATGATGCCGTGATGACAAAGGTCTTCCCTTGCAGCGGCAAAGGTCACGTACCTTGATTTCAACAAAGTGAAGCAAGTTGTGCACACACGTTTTCAGATGCCAGGTGAACCAAAGTCAATTATTGTTAAACACAAATAGACGCCTATCAAAGGGCAGCCAAATACTGTCAGGCTGGCTTTCGTAATATATCACCTCACACAGCTGCAGGCCAGGGACTGCTCTGCCAAATGCCCGTCTGAATTGACTTGGCTTAAACTTGCATAGAACTCCTGTAACTGCTTCTCAGGCAACAAAACTCAAAAGGTGCGATTTAATTACAGCATGACAAAGTCCGCTCATAGCAGCCACCTATTGTTTAAAAATGTGGTCCAAATGATCAAACCATCTAGTGTCTTCACAAATCAACTTGCTTTGCTACATCCATGCCATCCACTCGCAAAAACCGTCCTTCTCCTGGTCTTCTCTCTCAAGGCAATTCAAACCCGGGAAGTTGGGCCAAAAGAGCGAGTTGTACCATAGAGGCCCTGAAAAGCGTCCTAGGAAATATCAGCGTATCGGTGCCCCGATCAAAAGTCACACGGGAAGCAAACAGCTTTGATAATGATAGTGGCATCCTGAGTGTCATAAACGTGTGACTTCAACAAAGAACTCACCAAACAGACTCCCACTCGCCTTGAAGCTATTTTTACTGACACCTCGTTTCAACGTCTTTCTTTCGACTGAGCCAAAGCTGACCATGAGTCCTGCATGTGGTGTCAGGGCTTCATGGCGCCCATCACGGTCGTTACAAAGCAGAAAAGGCCCGTTCTCCTGAAAAGTGTGGACTTCTACAGTGGTGTAGTCGCCCAGTGGTACTGCTGTATTGCATCCAAATCTTTCAAACAGCTTTGGACACTGGAATCCAACCCAAACGCGATGCTCCATAGCCAATGTGTTTTGCTTTGCTTCATTTATGCAAGATTAGGCAAGTGTGAATGTTTGTGCAAAAGAAAAACCTTCCAGCAAAAATGCCATCCAGGGAAAGGGTCCTTGCCACGGATTGGTCCATGGTACCCTCCAAGGCGTTCAGCGAAAGCCTCCATCTGCTCAGTCCTTGGCAATGAATATATATATATATATGTATGTATATTCTCACACTCTCAATCTCATCTGCTTACAATGTGGTTCACAATAATTTCCCTTGGTCATTGAAAGAGGCGCACACACACCAAAAGAAGGATGACACTAAAAAAAGAACACACACACACACACATTGCCACAAAGGCACGACAAACAGCAACGGACCAGCAAGCACCATCAGCAAATAAAATCTGAATGCGCACAGACAAACACTCCATCTCTCACCACACATAACTCATTCTCGGGCAAAGCGGCTATCTCATTTTTGGCGTATCCAAGAACTCCGAAGTGTTCTCTCCTTTTGTAGTGTCTTATGCATGTGGCATGAGAATATCATGCTGTAATCATATCACACCCCAATCCGGCTCCACCCCATCTCTGATTGCAAGAATCGAACGTTTAAAAAAATATGCAAACAATTATACGCCTTGATGCAGTCCAGGGTCAAGTGAGCCGCTTCGCAAAGGCGAGCAAAGCTGCACTCTTGCAACTACCCTTCTCGGTAGTTGCTGGAACATAATAAACAATACAATAGACCAACAAAAAACAAACACATGCCAATCGCAGCCAGAGGAGTGCTTGAGACATTAGACCATAAGACAAACTATGTCATCTGGTTTGATCCGATTCGGTGTCAGCTAGCGAGTCTTGCCAAGGTCATCAACCTGTGCCATCAATTGCCCTTTCAATCCAACTGCTTAGCGCAACCGAAGCGGATCTTTTCACTGCGTCGGCCCGTTGCGTTGGCCCGCCCAGTCCCTCATCTCCACATCCCGGCCGTCACGTCGCCCATAGTAGCGCAGCTCTTTGCCATCGGGGCCTAGGGAGCTTTGGTGTGCGCGTGACATCGCGTGACCCCAAACACCAAACAAGTTTCGTCAGGTTGATTTGTTTCTATCCCTTTGGTCCCTTTACAGCTGTCTGGGTAGTCTCCCCTTTCTGAATCGCAAGAAAAGTGTTTATGATTCACTTTTTTGAGAGCTAATGATCCTCACTCTAGGGAGAGCCTATGGAAGAGCTTAGAGACATGATAAGATTCAACTGGATAGCCTCAAAAGAACATGACTTGACGAGCTGACTGGATGTGACTGGCTGCTCGCATCTGCTGCACTGTTTTTCCCGTTCTCGTTTAGTCGCTAGTGCCGGGGGAGAGCAAGGAAAAGCTTACGTTGTCGGGGACGGAAGATGGAGGTGGAGGTGGACGGGGTTGGGAAGGGAAGAGGGAAGGGAAGGAAGAGGGAGGGGAAGGAAGGGAGGGTAAGGAAGGGAGGGGAGCGAGACGGGAGGCGCACGGGTGGGGACGGGGTTGGGGAGGGAACAAATGGAGGGGAGCGAGGCGGGAGGGGCATGGGTGGGGACGAGAAGATGGAGGGGAGCGAGACGAAAGGCGCATGGATGGGGACGGGGCTGGGGAGGGAAGATGGAGGGGAGCGAGACGGGAGGCGCACGGGCGGGGACGGGGTTGGGGAATCTAGATGGAGGGAGCGAGACGGGAGGGGCATGGGTGGGGACGGGAAGATGGAGGGGAGCGAGACGGGAGGCGCATGGGTGGGGACGGGGCTGGGCTGGGGATGGAAGATGGAGGTGCATGGGTGGAGGGGAGCGCGACGGAAGGCGCGTGGGTGGGACGGGAGGCGCGTGGGGTCGGGGCTGGGAGGGGAGGGGGAGGGGAGCGAGACGGGGGGGGCGCAGGAAGATGGAGGGGAGCGAGACGGGAGGCGCATGGGTGGGGAGGGGAAGAAGGAAGGGAGTGGGAGGCGCACATGGGTGTGGACGGGGCTGGAGAGGGAAGATGGAGGGGAGTGAGACGGCGTGGCTTGGGTGTGAACGGGGCTGGGGAGTGCATGGGTGTGGACGCTTGCGCGGCTGATATGCTAGTTACGAGGACATGGTTGCACCACAAGCATCATTGCAGGCTGCTCCGGGTCAGTGCACAAGTAGAACAAAGCATGGGTGGGGGTAGTGCTGCTCCATGCTTCGCGGAAGCCCGTTGGGAGGTGAGTGGAGCTGTGTTGCACCAGAACCGCGATGCTTGAAATATCATAGTTGCCACGAAGCCTGGAGGGGGCTGATGCTTCGTTTTGGCCTGCTAATTTGTGTTTGTTTATTTTTCCTGGGTTGCGCGCTTCTTTTTGCTTTTGGGTCCGCGGGCTCACCTTGTTTTTTACTGCTTCATTGCAAAACATCCTCCGAAAGGACTTCTTTGGAAAACTTAGAGAGCTCATTAGGTTTGAAGGGAAAGCTTTGGCAGCTGAGATGGTAAGATAACACAGAGTTGAAGAGAGCGAGGAAGCAAATAACAGGAGCCCGGACCCAGGAGCATGTGAGCGGAGAAGAGGGGTAAGCCCCGCCAATGTGCAAGGGCCTGAAGGGCAAGATCATTGTGAAAAAATGAAGAGTTTTGCCACAAGCATCGCCACAAGCATCGGTTAGGATCCCACAGCACAAAATGCTATCTGAATACTGTAGTGTATCTGGTATTTGTCTCTAATCACCTGATGCATTCAAGTTATATGCCCAGTTGTGGCTTCACAGTGACTGAACCACTGAAATCCCTGCCTCTTCCTTCGTCCCGAAAACAATTCCATCAACATGTCCGAAGGCGTGGTGAGTGATCACAGAGTAGCCTGCACAAAGTCTACTAGCTTCTTGTTACTAGTAGTAAGGCACTTGTTACTAGTAGCG